AAGTCCATACACAGTGACACACACCGGTCCGCTGACCGTCCCACTTCCCCGGCCCGCTGGCTGGATGCGATCTCCTCTGCCCGCTGGCAGTGACACTTAACGGTCCGCTGACCGTCGTATTCCACGGCCCGCTGGCTGGAAGCGCCCTCCTCTGCCCGCTGGCAGACACTCACCGGTCCGCTGACCGTCCCACTTCCACGGCCCGCCGGCTGGAAGTGGCCTCCTCTGCCCGCTGGCAGTGACACTCAACGGTCCGCTGACCGTCCCACTTCCACGGCCCGCTGGCTGGAAGCCCCCTCCTCTGCCCGCTGGCAGTGACACTCAACGGTCCGCTGACCGTCCCACTTCCACGGCCCGCTGGCTGGAAGTGGCCTCCTCTGCCCGCTGGCAGTGACACTCAACGGTCCGCTGACCGTCCCACTTCCACGGCCCGCTGGCTGGAAGCGCCCTCCTCTGCCCGCTGGCAGTGACACTCAACGGTCCGCTGACCGTCCCACTTCCACGGCCCGCTGGCTGGAAGTGCCCTCCTCTGCCCGCTGGCAGTGACACTCAACGGTCCGCTGACCGTCCCACTTCCACGGCCCGCTGACTGGAAGCGCCCTCCTCTGCCCGCTCGCAGTGACACTCAACGGTCCGCTGACCGTCCCACTTCCACGGCCCGCTGGCTGGAAGCGCCCTCCTCTGCCCGCTGGCAGTGACACTCAACGGTCCGCTGACCGTCCCACTTCCACGGCCCGCTGGCTGGAAGTGGCCTCCTCTGCCCGCTGGCAGTGACACTCAACGGTCCGCTGACCGTCTCACTTCCACGGCCCGCTGGCTGGAAGTGGCCTCCTCTGCCCGCTGGCAGTGACACTCAACGGTCCGCTGACCGTCCCACTTCCTCGGCCCGCTGGCTGGAAGCGCCCTCCTCTGCCCGCTGGCAGTGAAACTCAACGGTCCGCTGACCATCCCACTTCCACGGCCCGCTGGCTGGAAGCGCCCTCCTCTGCCCGCTGGCAGTGACACTCAACGGTCCGCTGACCGTCCCACTTCCACGGCCCACTGGCTGGAAGCCCCCTCCTCTGCCCGCTGGCGGTGACACTCAACGGTCCGCTGACCGTCCCACTTCCACGGCCCGCTGGCTGGAAGTGCCCTCCTCTGCCCGCTGGCAGTGACACTCAACGGTCCGCTGACCGTCCCACTTCCACGGCCCGCTGACTGGAAGCGCCCTCCTCTGCCCGCTCGCAGTGACACTCAACGGTCCGCTGACCGTCCCACTTCCACGGCCCGCTGGCTGGAAGCGCCCTCCTCTGCCCGCTGGCAGTGACACACACCGGTCCGCTGACCGTCCCACTTCCACGGCCCACTGGCTGGAAGCGCCCTCCTCTGCCCGCTGGCAGTGACACTCAACGGTCCGCTGACCGTCCCAATTCCACGGCATGCTGGCTGGAAGTGCCCTCCTTTGCCCGCTGGCAGTGACACTCACCGGTCCACTGACCGTCCCACTTCCACGGTCCGCTGACTGGAAGCGCCCTCCTCTGCCCGCTGGGTCTGAAACTCACTGGTCCGCTGATCGTACCCATTCCGCGGCACGCTGGCTGGATATGGAGCAGCGCCCACTGTCCCCGGTCCGCTGACCATACCATACCTGTCTGCTGTCTGTCACGTCTCCCTTACTAACCTGCTGGAACCCATACTCACCGGGTCGTCAAACGGTCCACTTTCTCGAGCCCCCGGCGGCAGCACCAACTACCGATGAGTCACCTATTCATTCGACTAACGTCAGGGGCGACTTACAGGTCCCCGTGCCGCTGCGGCAGCGGCGGTGAAATCAGCCGCCATTCCTTCTCTCAACGCCGACACAGGATTACCGACTAACCTTCAGAGCCGCCGCGGCGCCCGCACCGGCCCGCGCAGAATGAACGATGATGTACCGACCGGCCGCCGCCGTGTGGCGTGTCAACAGTCTGCCTCGCCCGTGCCTGTCCCATCTGCACCATGCGCGATACCGCTCCCCGAGCTGGGTCTACTCGGCTCGTCACAGCGTTCCCGACAGCCGTCTCGCGGGCGCCGCGCTCGAGGCTGCAGCAGCAGCCCGGACACCACCGACTGGGCAAGCAAAGACACGGCCAGCAGCTCCGAGTGCTCCTCTAGCTCCGCCGTCGCATCACTGCGCGGCCACAAGCGGTCTCGGACGTCATTATCCCTCACCCCTCGACGTCGCTGCCTCCACACCGGAACGGTCGGTTTCCTTACTTTCGGCACCATCCCCTCTACCTCCTGCCAACCCCCTCCTCCCCGTGGCCTGAAACTGCCCACCGTCAGTGCCACCGCACTTCGCGCGCTCGCCGCGCGCTCCTCGGTAGTGTCGGTGGCCGAGGTAGTCTTTCCCCGCCTACCTCCCTCCGACAGCCTCCGCGGTCAGCCGAGGTACCCGCCGCTTACCCCGGCCGGGTACCTGCGTGGTGTCCCGGCGATCGCGACCTCTACGGCCTAATTTTCCCATACATTTGGCAATTTCTTTGGCGTCTTTCAGCGGGAAATCACGGCACTGACCCTATGCAGGACGCTGATCGACAGAGGGCGTGAAAGGAGTCGAGACCGAGTCGCGCCAAAAGAAAATTGGTATATGAAGGTTACGCGTACCACCGATCGCCGAGCACGTGCTAATGGCACCTTACTGGATCGGATGAGACTGTAAGATTCATTAGAACGGCGAGGCCCACAGCCATACACACATCGGCGCCGCAAACGCCCGTATAGGTACTCGGCGGCGGCATCGTGTGAACCCATGACTCATATGAAACACCCAGTGACACCTAGCGGTCGGCCAGACATTGCACTGACGTGGAAGTGACTACAGGCGGCGGCGCCCCACGAACTGCACCCTTCCCTTTGCTGACAAACCATCACAGAGGGAACATCTTTCCCCACCTCCTCCCCACTCCCCCACTATTACATTATCTTCCCTCCCAACCCATTGTCTCCTCCTTTCATCAGTCCGTCTCGTCTTTCAGCGGGAAATCACGGCACTGACCCTATGCAGGACGCTGATCGACAGAGGGCGTGAAAGGAGTCGAGACCGAGTCGCGCCAAAGAAAATTGGTATATGAAGGTTACGCGTACCACCGATCGCCGAGCACGTGCTAATTCACATTACTAGACTCTGGACTGTTGTGCTGTCAAGATGACTTGCACAAACCATGTTTAATCGGTAACATGTAGTGCATAGTGGAGTGTACTGGGCGGACCGTTTGTGCATGCATATTGCGCATGATGTAGGTACGTACTTTATTATGATAAATATATCTTAACCCGCGCCCTGCTGGGGGGGGGGGGTGTTTGAACACCCCCCCTTGTGGTTTTTCGCGAATATCTCAAAAACGGCGGCGCGGAGCGCCGCCGTTTTTGGTACACCTTATCATACATCAATTCTACACATGTTGTGAAAATTTCAGACCAAGGTCATTCAAGGTCAGGTCACCAGGTCACTTGAAGTGACCTAACCTCATAAAAACTTTCAATGTCTGTCATAGCTACACCGAGTGACCGATCGCTTTGAAACTTTCAGCGATTGCTAAGAGCAAGAGCATGTACAAAATGTTTATCTCAGAATTTTGATATCGATGACCTAAGGTCAGGTCAATTTTGCGACCTCCCCATTATAAGTCAATGGGAGAAAATTGAAATGCGCCTCTTTTGGATGAAAGACATTATAAACACTCCCAAACACCGAATTACAAGTGGTTTAGACACACTGAACTTGAAAATGGTGTCCGTGACCCTTGTTTATGCCCTGAGGTCATCTTAGGTCACGAATGGTATCTAACAGTTTTTGCAAATAACTTTTGATAGAGGCATGCTAGAGCGATGAAAACACCTTAGATGTGTTCAGCTCGACGATACGGATCGACTGATATGCAACATGACCCTTTCCGGTCAGGTCATGACCTTGACCTGAGGTCAAATTTTCAAGTTGACCTTTCAAGGTCAAGTTATAATTCATTCGATGCGTCTTGACGAGAGGAACACGATGCCGGTAAAAGTAAGCTTGTACAAGGTTTGGGTCAAAAGTTATTGCAGAAAAACTGTTTTGAAAAAATCGGCTATTTTTGCAGTTTTTGCCCCCTGCAGGCAAAACCGTTGACGTTAGGTCAAATCTGATAGAATTATTCAGAAAGGGCGTTAATAGGGCTATCGAATGCGCTTTTCCGCGGCGCTGTAGCTCTATTGGTTCCCGAGTTATGCGTTGGCTTCTTGGAAATTTTCGACATTCGACCTGGAAATCGGCGAAATTTTGCCTTCAATGACCTCTGGTGACCTGACCTTTGACCTGACCAAAAAATTGACCGGAGTGATTTCGTCATTATTTTTTACGCTCTTTCGAACGCCGCCTTCCGCGTATCGCTACGTGGCCCAGGAGCCGAGTTACAAGGGGGGGTGTTCAAACACCCCCCCCCCCCCCAGCAGGGCGTGGAAATCCAGGACCCCCAGCAGGGCGCGGGTTAAGACTTATAGTTACGTCCATGTATCCTATACATCTCAATAGCAATAGACAGTAGGTAATCAAAGAATACAACTTTTAAGCCAAGGTTCAAAAGTTGTTTTCGACAATCAGAACATATTGTGCTAATTGACAAATAAATATAACCCATAAACCACTGCATAAATTTCGGTCCATTCCTTGGGCCATCCGGGTGCTTGATGTCAGCTACCTTGGCCTGGTTGGTGTAGGTACCCATCTGTGTTTACATGCCTCTCTAACCAAGCCGTGCGTGGTCTTTTTGAGACCTTTCCCACGCAAACCTCACTGTCTGTCTTCCCAGGCGATTCGTGAAGTCAGCTGCCAGGACGTGGTGCCCCCTAGACCCCACTGTCTGTCTTCCCAGGTGATCCGCCAAGTCAGCTGCCAGGAGGTGGTGTCCACTAGACCTCACTGTCTTCTCCTCCATATGACAGGTGTGGTCAGCTGCCAGGACATGGTGCCCCCTAGACCTCACCCTCTGTCCCTCCCTCCTCAGGTGATCCGCGAAGTCAGCTGCCAGGACGTGGTGCCCACGTGGATCTCGCTCTCTCGCTCGGGTCGTATGATGTTCCTTGGTCTGCAGAGTGGTGTCCTGCGCTCCGTCAAGTTCCCTCTCTCCATTCCGGGAGAGTGGGAGGAGCACCACGCTCACAACGATGCCATCACAAAGGTAAGACGTCGAACGCAGGCGCTGGACACGGTCTGCCGTTATTTTTACGGGTGAATGTTCACATCAATGGAAAGCAATTCGTTAAAGAGCATTTTCTTTGCTCTGTGCTCCATGTTCAGTACATTTAAATGGTTATTTGTATCAGTGGTGAGTGCTTGTTCTTCAATGATATTGACGATGAACGACTTGATGCAGCTAACTTGCACAATATGTGCCCAAAATGACCAAATATGTTTCTCTCATTCTTTTTTTCAGCCTTGTCTTGTATGCCCGTTTATCGATGCGAACTTTGTTAATGACCCATTTATTGCTTAATTATCACTGGGCTGTCGTTTTGTGCGATTATTGGATCAACTACTCGCATTCCTATGTCTTCATGCCAGTTTTAAGTCTGGGGTCGGTAAGTACATATCACGAGCCGACGTCCTGTCTGGGGACCGGGTGTCTGGCTGGTAACAGCTGCCGTGTCAGTCCGTCAGACAGACCGACACAGACAGTTGGCCAGACGCAGCTCGGGCCTCAGGGGAGGGGTGCATGTCAGACCCACGTGCCCGCCACCCGCCCGACCCTGGCTCATGTCTGCCGAGAGCTGTCTAAGAGGACGAACCCTTTGGTGTAAATCGTCGTCTGGTGAGGGTATAAGGACGGAAGGGTGATCAGATACAGGCTGTGTCGTTTATTTATTTAGCGACGACTTATGCCTGAAACAGACTCTTTCCGCAGTCAGGAAATCGAATGCGAGAGCCTATTCAAATACATGGAAGCACGCTCGCATCAATCGCACGCACCTCGCGGATGCGATTGATGCGAGAAGAATTATAATGTATTTGAATAGGCTCTCGCATGCGAGTTCCTGAACGCGGAAAGAGTCTGTTTCAGCCTTTACATCGACCGGTGTTTATGAGAGGAGGCGATGATATTTAGATCTTATTCAGCAGTCGCTCTAATTTATGTTTGCTTTTGTGTCAATTGAAAAATATCATTGACAACTATAATTTAAAGTGTGGGGAATAAGTTTTCCATTTTATTGTGTCTGCTTAGCTGTATTCATACCATTTAGGTACTGACATCTCATAACCGTCAAATCTGAATCAGTTCATTTGCAAATGCTAAGTCAATTTCCATGAATTGCAAATATCGCAGTTACAATTCAGAACACATAGGTACGGTGCTGGTAACTAAAAGTCAGGCTACCTATATCTCGCATTAAGCACTGGTTTCAAGCAGTTGCCTACAGCTGCTCAGGAATGTGTTGATATCAAAGAACTCACTGATGCACCCGACACGGGTTCTTGACCTCAGCCCGTAGCTTTGTGGTCAACCGAAGGCCACATTCGTAGAACTGTGATCTGCGCTGGAGGAGTTGGACGATGCGTACCAACTGATCGTATACAGTCATGGTGATGGTGTGTGTTTATGTTCACTCCGAGAGGGGTTGTGCGAAGCAGAGCACATCTTCAAACAGAGCACATCACGCATTCCTGCGCTGGGGTGTACACGGAACATGTCTGAGTAAATAGGGAAGAGTATCTTTTTGTCACCGTAACTGTGATATGTGTGCGTCCTTTCTCAATTATTAACCCGCGCCCTGATGGGGTCTGCCGAGCAACGTGGTCTGAAGGGGGGGGGGGCATTTTGGCCCCCCCCCCTAAGATCTCGAGAACCACGCAAGATAGCGACAAGCGGTAAACCGCGTTGGATAGCCCCAACGGGGAACTACCTTGTGACCCAATTTCATTGACCTCGGTCAAACCGATGACGTCACAGGTCAGGTCAAAGGTCGAATTTTCACCGTTTACAGGCATTTCAAGAAATGCGTTGTAAAATTGAGTAAGGTGCATTTCATTGAAAATCATCGATGGGGAAATGTTCTTCAAACACGTATTTTGCTATTTGAGGTCACTGATACCAGGTCAGGTCACAGAGGTCAGGTCACTGGGGGTCACAATATGAAAGTGTCGTGTGATACATGTTTTATGGTCCATTTTACATGACAAATGCGATTATGTGGGTCAGGCAGACTTTTGGGCCAGCTTAGGTCACGTTTTGGTCAAGTTCAGGTCAAGGTCAGGTCTAGGTCAGGTCAAATTAGGTCAAATTTCAAAGTTGATATTTTTGCATAACATGGGTACCTACTGATGCGATGCAGCTCGTCACGGGGAGTTCAATGGTGGTCTCCGTTTTGCGCTGCGAGGTCTAGAATTGCTCAGAATTGAGTTCAAAAATTTGACGTCATCAATTTTTAACAGTTTTTCGCTATAACTTGGCCAAAAAAAGAGGTATCGATCTAAAATTTGGTATGTATATCGAAGAGTACAGGGACTATCATATATATTCCGTGTTTTTTTTTTGGAAATTCGAAAATTTTTGGATTTTTTTTAGTTTTTCTAAAAAAATATATATTTTTGGGGTCCAAATCCCAAAATTTCGAAAATCCGAGATAGCAGTTTTGTAGTGCCGTCTTTTCTCTACACGACCATATAAAGAACTTTAAAATTGCTTGTTAACTGTAGAATTGGTGAGCGTTTCAAGATGTCATGTTTTTTGCTCATTTTTACTCGAACATGACCTCAGTTTGACCTCAATAACTCCTGACCTGAGGTGACCTGTGACTTGAAATTTTGTGTGAAGGTGTCAAATTGATGCCCGGTAAGGTACCCAAAATTTGGCGGCGCGAGCAGTTTTCTCGCTATTTAAGAAAAACCACAGGGGGGGGGGGGCAAAAATGCCCGCCCCCCATCAGGGCGCGGGTTTATCATTGTTAAAGGAAATAGTTCACTTTTTAACATGGGTTTTGAACTGGAATAGCAGTTCCGTAGCCTGGGCTGAGACGAGCATAAATCAGGAGCTTTTACAGCCCAACGATCACCCTAGGCAAATATATTCTATTTCTCGTCCCGAAAAATGTGTCTTGCGTTGAGGATGTGTGCCTTGCATATATTCGCATCCAGTATGAAACGAGCATGGGTACCGAAAATTCTTCAGAAACTAGAGAAATTATCTACGAGAACTCTAGAGAAATTCTCGTACTGATCAATAAGGACATTCAGCAGCAGCAGATCGCCCAAATGCCGGTGGCCGCGATCATTTCTCTAGTTTCTGAAGAATTTTCGGGACCCATGCTCTTTTCATACTGGATCGCCTGTGCCTTACAGAAACTGAAAAGTTCTTCTTATTATCAAAATATAGAAAATAATCTTTTGTTATAAATAGGTTTTATTTTCTTTGCTGATCATTTTGAACATAAAAAATCATAAATCCATTGCAAAAAAAATAATTTCGTGAAAGTGAACTATTTCCTTTAACCGATTATAATGAACAGCCGTCAGTTGAAAAAGGAACGAAGGTCAGATTGATGAAAAAGAGGGGACTTGCTGTTCCATACGTGTAGTGAGATGAACCGTGCATGAATGGGCAAACTGCATCCCCTCCTGGGTGGTCTGTAACGTGCACTGGATGACCTAACCGTCCTAACCTGTTTGAGCTTTACCCTGGTGTGCAGGCCCGTCATCTGCAGTTTCTCCCGCTGCCGCCAGATGGTGGTGCTGGCGGACGACACTCAGATGTTTACCTGCTCGTCGGACGGCACCCTGGCTCTGTGGTCCATCGCCGACCCCGAGGGAAGGCTCTCGAAACGAGAGCGCACCGTGCCTTACTCGGAGGAGATCCTCGTCTCCAAGGCCGAGCTGGACGTAAGCGGCAGAATAGCTAATTGTAAGATAGCGATTAACGTAACACGCTTCAAAACAACGGTGACACTAGTTTGGCCTGTGCATTTAGGCATAGATGAATCTGATATGAATCGATGCTAATTGTGAAGATGAACACATTTCATTGACGCGTTTTGTAACATTTCTTACGTCTGTTTTCTTAGCTTCTTTTAGCCACACAAGCCATTTGTATACACCTCAGTAGCCTTTTTAAAGCACGTTTACTTTGAAGAATTTAGTGACGTTCTTCCGCTTCCCCAAATAAATATTTATGAGCATAATCTGCAGACAACATCAAACGGTAGAACTGTGCAGCTCAGACATCATATTGGTTGCTGCCCTGCTGTACCTCATGCCGTTTCGTTTGTCGCCCGTTCAGGAGAAGATCCAGCTGATAAACGAGCTGAACACGCGGGTGTCTGAGCTGCGACTGGAGAACGAGTATCAGCTGCGGCTCAAAGACATGACGTACGGCGACAAGATCCGACAGCTGACCGAGCGAGCCGAACAGGACATCCAGACGCTCAACGGAAACATCGAGGTGCGCATGACGTCTGTGACGAGTTAGAGAGAAAGGAACGACGTAGGATTTTGGTAGGAAAGTAGACTGATCGGTAGCGTGGGAGTCGTTTGTAATTTACATCGCCGGTGTGTACTGTAGAGAATTATTGCTAGGATTCCTGCAAAGGATGCGGGTTGGGTCTTACAAAGAAGACAGGTAGAAGTCTCCTCGAACGTCCTGTAGATCAACACGTTGATGCACTTTTTGAGATAGTGACCTTCCCGCGATGTTGCAGGCTCTGAAGGATGAAAAGAGCGAGGATCACGCGGCGCACAACCGCGAGCTGGAGACGCTGCACGCACAGCACGAGGAGGAGGTGCAGTTGCTGGAGTCCAACAACAACGCCAAGCTGATCGTCGAGTATGAAAAGTACCAGGCGCTCGAGAACAAGATGGCACTCATGAAGGAGGACTACGAAAAGTAAGGCTGCTTGGCGAACGTGCAAGTCGCGTTATAGTAACGCTAACTGTTCATCAAACACGTTTGTTAGTGGTTTATCTATTCTGTATTATGAGGTGGATGCAGTTGTCGTTGACTGGTTCCCCTGTCAGGCAGCTGGTGGAGCAGGCCGAGGCGGACCGCGCCGAGCTGGCCGCCCAGGCCGAGGAGTACGAGGACCGGCTGACAGAGAAGGTGGCCCTCCTGGACGAGGCTCGTGAGGAGGCGCTCCAGCAGAAGAAGACCTACGAGGAGATGCAGGTGCAGATTGAGGAGGACGCCGACCGAGAGATTGTCGACATCAAGACCAAGTACGAGTACAAGCTGAAGGCCGAGCGTAACTCCAACGTCCGACTGCGCGGGGAGACGGGAGTGATGAAGAAACGCTTCGTCAGGTGGGTCAACGCCGGCTTTTAGGGGTAGGTTGCCGGAGATAAAGTTAATGAAATGTGTGTAGAAATGTGTCAACCTGCCTATGCTAAGTCAGCCCAGAATGACGCATAGTTGATTGCACATGAATTTCTTTGTGTGAGGATCACTGAGAAATTTTCGTTGCCCTTTCCAGTTTGTCTAAAGAACTAGAGGAGCAGCGTCAGGAGATTCAGCGTCTGCAAGGAGAGCACAGCAAGCTACAGTCCATTATCAAAAACCTCGAGCGGGACATCATCGGGCTGAAAAAGGAAGTCACGGAGCGAGACGAAACAATAAATGAAAAGGTACCTATGTGTAGGTTATCGGTTGAAAGTGATACTTTTGGTTAGTTTGACTGCTAGTTTTCGAGTCGAAACGTTTTTCAGCATGGTATGGGAGTGTGTTACTCATACTGTCGCAAATACGCCTTTGCACAAATACGAAGTCTTACAGGCTTTACTGTTCTGATAGAAAATTGCCTCTTCTGTTAAGTGCTAGAGCACATGGCGGTAACGGATATTTAGGCATCTCCTCTGATTCATTGCAGGAAAAACGGATTTACGATTTGAAGAAAAAGAATCAGGAGCTGGAGAAGTTCAAGTTTGTGCTCGACTACAAAATAAAGGAACTGAAGAAGCAGATAGAGCCCAGAGAGGCTGAAATAAAGGACATGAAGGAAACTATAAATGCGGTATGTATTCTTACACTATCGCTAGTTAACTTTGATCTTCAGTTGCACCGTAAGTTGTTCTGTATATGGCACGCTGAAATTATACCAAAAGTATGCATTAAATAAAAGGCAGGCAAAACCTTGTAATTATTGCTATCCTTCTTATTGGCATCAATTTCTTGGCAATGAATGGGATGGAACTGGAAGGCTAATATTGGATATAATAGGATCGGTAAGGCTTTCTTCATTTATACCCATTTTGCTAAAACTAGTCGATTAATGCCAGTCTCTGCTCATTTGTAAATCTCCTATAATGCCTTGCCTTATTTACCTACCTCTGCTGACTTTCACGGTGTACGTCTCAGATGGAGAACGAGCTGGAGAACTACCACAAGACGAACACGGAGCAGGAGCTGCAGCTGCAGGAGCTGCGGCAGAAGCTGCGCGCCATCGAGGCCGAGCTGCACCGCGCCGTGCAGCGCAACTACGACTTCACCATCGTCATGAACCGCTACCGCAGCGACCTCTTCAGCTGCATGGACCACCTGCAGGACCCCAAGAAACTCAAGGAGGGCATCAAGGTGAATATACCTACGTGATTGAAGTGCGGACATTTATAATTCTAATTTTGCATTTTAATGAGCGGTGTTTATATTTTCAAGTGAGCTGTTTTTTATTGCTAATAGCGGTAAGATGATATCCTGTCTATCCGTCTTCTCTTTCAGAGCTTATACAGCAAGCACGTCACCTCAGAGATCCGACCGGAGAAACTTCTGGTGGACGACTCCAGTCTGAAGGAGTTCAGCCGGCAGAGGGACTACCTGGAGCGGACCGTAGCCGGCCTCAAACACAAGCTTACCAAAGACACGCACCTGCAGAGAGCCGACAACATCCGCGTAGTGCAGGTGACGATATTTGGCTCCCTGAACGGCGCCCGTATGAACACTCTTCGTGTTATTTAGGGAAGAAGAGAAGGAAGCTGCTATGCTAGTAGTTATCCATTTTGGTGACTATCTACATACATTTTGTTTTATGTTGACGGCCGTGAAACAAAAACAGACTTTTGGTGTTCCTGCAGTATTTTCAAATCGCTTATAGCGCTCACGTTCTAGTCGTCCTCACGAACAATGTAGGTATGTGTTGATGCGCTAATGCTCACATATCCCCTCCCATTCGTCCACAGGAGAACGTTGCGCTGATCTCTGAGATCAACAACTTGCGTGCCGAGCTGCACTCACTCCGCGGCAGCATGGACGATCTGGAGTCGTCTCTGGGCCTGCGCCGCTCCTCCGTCACCCCTGCAGAGGCGCAGAGCAAGCTCGACAGGGCCATCATCAAGCTGGACCAGCTGCAGAAGGAGCAGAAGCAGCAGCTGGATGTGAGAAGGACGGTGGTTACGCGGAACTTTTGGGTTTTATTTGTCGTTGATGTTTGCTGCACTGAATTCTCTCGTTTCCTGATTTCTTTTCGCTACGCTAAGTATTAGTCTAAATTTCTAGTTGGTCTTTTTAAGACTTGGACATGCCCTCAGTCGATTCTGTTGTCTTCCTGCAGGCGCGAGACCAGATCATCGACTCTCAGCGCCAGGAGCTGCAGCTGCAGTCGTCGCAGCTGGTGCAGCTGCAGCACCAGCTGGCCAACTGCTTGGCCCAACCCGACTCCTTCGTACAAACCCTAGGACACGGAGAGGGGGGCGTGGATGCCGAGACCACCTGAACAGCCGCCGAACGTGTCAGTTTAGTGCAATACTCGTGAAATAAGATATCGTTGGACCTGAATCACATTTCGTTCTGCCGATGTGCTGGACAACGGAGCCAGTTCTTTGATTTTGAAATTTGTTTGTGTGAATTTTGATTATGAAATCATGAAATATCAAATGCAAGCTGTCCTGTGTTTGACAGGCAAGACCAAATGCTCTTTCTGATGCGTGTGTCATGTTGCTTTATTTATTTTTCAGCATGTTTTTAGGTAGATTAGTCAATTCAAATGCGTTTTCACTTTGCCCTCCCTTTCACTTTGCAAGTCCCGAAGCTCTTTCACCCACCGAGTATTTGAAGTCATTACGCATTAGGCGCGAGGCCTTTGTGAAGTTTCCTTCCCCTCACGGCGCGTTTACACCTCATGTATCTTTAACGTTAAGAATCTCACCTGAAAAGATGGAGTGACCACGGTTAGACGACCTGTGTTCTACCCTACTTATGTGTTATAGTGATAAGTTGCGTGTGGACTTTGTGACTTGAGTGAACATCGCATTGGACGAGTACGAATGTAAAAGAACATCGACAGTAAAATTCAGTCATGTATTTATCGATTTTCGTATGGGTGCGTTGTAATTGCCGCGTTATCTCAAGTTTGAGCTTTATAATTGGACCTATTCTGCATGCAGCTACCTATAATGATGCTGGCATCTACTCCATGAACATTGATACAATATCATATCTAGTGCCAAGTATACACATTGCACATTGACGGGATCAGGGTATATGTACATTGTACACATTACACATGCGTTATGTTCCATTACGCGCTTGGTCTTGCTTCATTTAAATACATTCACACATAATGCAAGTCAATAACATCGTCTGCTACACGCAACTCGAGGTCGGTTGGCTTATACAGCGGCCTTATCGGCAGTTCGTTATGTAAGCAATGGCCGGTGAATACTGAATCACCGCAGTTCGTGGAGCTCTCACAGGATGGTGCACTGTTTGCACCACCGCAGTTCGAGGAGCTCTCACAGGATGGTGCACTGTTTGCACCACCGCAGTTCGAGGGGCTCTCACAGGATGGTGCACTGTTTGCACCACCGCAGTTCGAGGGGCTCTCAGAGGATGGTGCACTCAGTTTGCACCACCGCAGTTCGAGGGGCTCTCACAGGATGGTGCACTGTTTGCACCGGTCGCCGCCTCTCAGCCAGAGCTGCTTCCCCGACCCTCCGCTCTCCTCCTCCTCTCGGCAGACACGGTGCAGCACCATCCTGTACAGCCCCGTGACAGGACTGTGGCAGCCCCGCCGGCGGTGGCTCTCCAGCGTGGTCTCGCTGACACCGAGCTGCCGCAGCCTCGCGCGTGCCTCTCTCTCCTGGGCTGTGACGGGCGCGGCCCGCAGCGACAGGGACCTGCCGGCAGCCGGCGGTGGGTGGCCGTTCAGCCAGCGGCAGCGGCCGGCCTCTGCCGCCGACGGTCGCGCCGCGGGGTCCCTCTGCAGCAGCGCGGCCACCAGCTCTCGGCAGGGCTCGGAGCCGACACCGGCCGGCCAGCGGTAGCGCACGGCGAGTATGTGTCTTCGCAGCTCGGCCAGCGAGGCGCCGTCGAATGGCAGCCGGCCGGTGACGCTGAAGAAGAGCAGCACGCCCAGCGCCCAGAGGTCGGCCCGGTCGCCGCGGTAGCTGGCCGCGCTCAGCAGCTCCGGCGCCGAGTAGCTCGGGGAGCCGCAGAACTGCGTCAGGTGCTCGCCGATGCCGCTCACCCGCCGGCTGAAGCCCAGGTCGCCCAGTTTGACGCGCGACCGACTCGCGAAGAACACATTCTCGGCCTTGATGTCGCGGTGAACCAGCTTCTTGGAGTGCTGTGGGAGGTCAGAGGGCTGCTGGCGTAGCGTGCTTAAAAGACAAGTACTAGCTAACAACGTATCGGTATTGAATTCTGAGCTACACTTCGAATTATCCTGGCACCTGAATCTCAACGAGTCAACATTCGCCTGATTTCTACACTCAACGGTACGACTATTGCATTAAATTTGCCTGTACGCGTGCTGAAATTTCTCTAGAAGCTGAAGAAACTACAATGAATGGACTGACGGCTGCTGTATGAGGAATACTATTCAAGCTACGACAATGAAAATCGTGCAAGAAACTACAGAACTACATCGAGGCAGAGTTCTTCTACAGTCGTTGTATGGTTCTCCCACGCAGTGTCCATACCCAAAAGAACCAATTTTCCCTCTGACCATGTGCTGGACGGCGGCTAGAAGCTGCGAGAAGACGGATCGGGCGTCTGCCTCTGTCAGTGGGCCCTCTCGGCTGACCCTGCGCTCCAGGTCACCGGCGGGAGCGTACTCCATCATGAGGTGGATGTGCCGCGGACTCTCCACCACCTCGTACAACCTGCAACACGGAGCGTGTAGGTGGTGGAGGAGACTGCGAAGGACTGGTGTCAGCATGATAGGAGCATGGATGCAGCAGAAAGGCAGATAAAGAAGTGCATCAGTCTACACTCTACAGCCAATGGTTGGAACTATACCTACTTATTTATCTGCACATAGCGCAGTATTGCACCGATGCTTTCGAAGCTTTTAGCTTGTGCAAATGAAATATATTACATTAGTCCATTAGAGGTCCATTAGTCGCTAATTTACTGAGGCATGAGTACCATCTACTCGTGATATATATGTTACGGGTCATATGCTAACTTGGGCAGTATGCAAACTACCCGGGCAGTATGCAAACTACCCAACAGCCCGGGCAGTATGCATACCGCCCGGGTAGTATGCATACTACCCGACCCCTTGGGCAGTATGCATACCGCCCGGGCAGTTTGCATACTGCCCGGGTAGTATGCATACTACCCACCTTTTCTCTCACGGGCAAGATGTTTACTCGGGCAATATGCTGACCGTGGCCCGTGAGACTAGTTCATGCATATGTGTATATGTGAGCATATACATGCCATTGACATGTATATGCTCACATATAAATGTCAATGGCAGACGCTTTAACCCGCTCCGGGGCGGTGCTCGGCGCCAGTCGTTCGGCGCCAGTCGTGCCGGGCTGGATGGCGGGTTGAACACCCCTGCTCGACTCCCGTGCCACTTAGCGGAACAGAAGTAAGCGGCATGTAAGATGCGGTAACTGGCATTCGAAATGGCGTCAAAGATCATGACGAAAGTGCCGTAGTCATTTTTAAGGCCAGGTCAAAGAATAGGGCAACAGAGGTCATCAAAGATCAAATTTCGTCTTTTTCATATTTTTTTTTTTTTAAACTCCCATAACTCAGAATATAGGAGAGCTACAGCGCCGCAGAAAGACGCATTCGATAGCTCTGTAAGCGTTTTCTGGAATAAGTACTCAAAGTTTATCTAAGTTCCAAATTTGACCTGAGGTCAAGGTCATGACCTGACATGAAAAGGTCATGTTGTTTATCAGCCGCTCCTTATCGTCGAACTGAACACATCTAAGGTTGTTTACATGACCATCGCTCCAACACGTCTCCATAAAAAGTAATGGTAAAAGAACTGCTGGAGACCTTTTATGACCTGATATGACCTCATGGTCATAAAAAGGGGTCACAAGTGCAATTTTTTCGATTCAGTGCGTCATGTTTACCTGTATGTAACCCGATGTTTGAGAGTGTTTAGAATGACGTTCAGCAAAAGGGGCGTCCTTCAACTTTCTCCTGTCAACTTTTTAGGGAGACTGTGCAATATTGACTTGACCTAAAGGTCATCGGTATGATATCAAAATTCAAATACATGCCTTTTGAACCTAATGTTACACTTATTAGTCGCTTAAAGTTTCAAAGCGATCGTCAGGTCGGTGTAGCTATGGCGAGCATTCCAACCTTTTCTGGGGTAAGGTCACTTGACCTGACTTGGTAACCCGACCATAACAACTTGTAACGTCTTACATGTAAATGGTTTCATGTAACATTAGCTATTGAAACTATGATAACGCCCTCTACAGGTCCAAGTGTCAAACCAAAGCCAGCGAGTGATGGCACTACAGATATGTCGTCATTTCAGATGAAAGTGACTTGTTGGCCGCTGGCAATGAAATTCAATGAAATTCTCGGGAAATATTTTACATTTTTATATTCAAAACATTATTTCACTCTTCGATCGATAAATCACGTTTGACGGGAAAAAAGACTTCGCGATTAAACTACGTTACTTTTTTAAAGTTAGTCCGAACCTTTTGAATAGAAGGATTCACAGGGACAGAGCCCCCGCTAAGCGAAGCTTGTTGCGGTAACCCTGCCCTCTACCCTCCGATCGCGCAATGCCGGTTCTATGGCAGAATTTGGAGTCCAAAGTTTAAAGTGCGCACAGAGCCGCGCACGGCCGGTCCTCTTACCGACTTCGCTTGGCTACGGGCTACGGCCTGCCACAAACCGTCATATCTGTAAGGAGGCTCATTAAACGTCAATCGCCCGTCGCGCTTCGAACCCGGACTGTTATAACCGGAAACGCGTGCTCTCACCACGCGGAGTCCAATGCTCTACCGACTGAGCTACGGGACCGGCAAATACTTATAGAGCCATTAATACTTTTTAAAATGGACATGGAATACACAACTCCAAGACAAGAAGCGGGCAGTATGCAAACTGCCCAAGTTTTTGGGCGGTATGCATACTGCCCAAGGGGTCGGGTAGTATGCATACTACCCGGGCGGTATGCATACTGCCCGGGCTGTTGGGTAGTTTGCATACTGCCCGGGTAGTTTGCATACTGCCCAAGTTAGCATATGACCCGTAACATATATATGATATGATAATCAGTAAACACATGCATCCAATTAAAGGGACTATCCCACCTTCTAAAATGTTGTTAAAACCAGTTGAATTGTGCCCGACTTTATAGATTGAATGACCAGGAACACGGTTCTGGCATTTATTTTTCATTAAACATCTTAGGCTTCCCATATTCCAAACACAAACTTTCAAATATGTGACGTCACAGCCCAAAATTACCTCCTTCCCCAGGCCACATTACTGTCATAAAGCTGATTCTTTTTACTCTGTAGGCACCACAACAAAGTTCAGACCAAGTTTTAAGCGATTTTTCAACGAACAAACCCATTTAAATCAGAATGACTAAACGAGGTGACGTCACACTAACGGTCGCTCCATGTTGAAGATAGGGCCTTGTACAAGGCCCATTTTCAAATGAAGGGAACGAATTTCTTCAACACCAAGAGACCGCGGGGGCTGCAACCTAGATAGATAGTGGTTTCTGAACCTCGCCGCAAACTTGGCTATCTCAACTCAAACCCCATGTTAAAGGTGGGATAGTCCCTTTAAGTGGTCACTTTTTCGTTATTAGATTTACAGAATGTAGATACGCCTAGATAAAAATGTATAATATTTACAGTTGAACACACATCTGCCTGTTTTCCAGCTCATGTTCGTCATCACTTTACGCCGCTTTATTTCCCAGTTAATCTCAAACAAATGTATTTCGAATAAAAACGCAATAGTTTGTTCCAAACACGGAAGGGTCTCGACCACCGACCCCGGAATCAGACGTTTTCTGAAGGTCTCTAGCGACTGTCGGTTGTTTATTCTCACAGTCGCTGAGTCAGGGCAGTATGGCGTGTCGCCCGGCTCGTCATAACATGTCATAGGCAGACTTGTAAGCGATTCAACTCTGATTGAATCGATTCTCGTGAATCGCTTGTAAATGCCGACTCACCGTGATTGAGTCGGTTGAATCATCTCTTGTCACCATATGAATCCTGACTGAGTCGGTCACACATGGCAACTGCAAGTGATTGAATCGGCAACTCATTGATTCAAGTTGATTGAATCGGCAACTCATCGATTCAAGTTGAATCAAAAAATGATTCAATCACCATGTGCTAGAAATTGCAAAAGCAATATGTTTAGTATTTTGAATCAAGACTTAGCTTAATGAGTGGAAAAAATAGCAGTACTCAGCAGTCAGAGCCAAGAGGGCAGAGGCAGGCGGCAGCATTATCCACCTGGCAATTGGCATTAGTATTACCTTATACCTACCTACCCATTTTCATTCAACGGTAAATTAATCAATAGGTTGAGGTAGGTGTACGTGATGATTGGTAACAGACATACTTAAGTCCTAACCTAACTGACTAGGTACATTAACTATTATATTATGAATATGTACCTACAAATATATGTGACATTTGCATTAAAACACACGCAAGGCGCAAGCACAACACATGCATATATTTATACCTATATAGTATATGGGCTATATGTAATATTGATTGAATTGAATTGAGTTGAGTCGTGAGTTGAATCATTCCCTGAATCACTGATAACGGGATGAGTCGTGATTGAGTTGAATCACAAGGTCAATGAGTTGTGATTGAGTCGCTTAGAAATTCAGACTGTTCGATTTAGGCACACAAATCAGAGCTTCGGTCTGGGTTGTCTTGGTGGGCAGACCTGAAAAGATCATTGTGATTTTCGAGAGCGAAAATTTGTGATGACTTGCAGAGTGAGCAGAGCTGACTTTCAAGTTACATGACGGAAACGGCGGCCGCCGTCGTGTTGACACACTTCGTGGTGCATCTTTTCCACATACTCGCATGTGAAGCATGCCAGTCCACGTCTTTCAGGTTCAGATCGCTAGCTCACGTGGGATGACCTAAACTCAGGAAAAGAAATAAAGAAAAGAAATAAGGCACAGTATTATACCTAAATGCCGTAGAAGAGGTTTCGAAACACTGACTTAAGAAAATTATCTAATTAACTATTTGCATGAACATAATAAAACACGTCGCATTGGCTAAGTTAAAAAAGATTCAATGACTATAAAGGAATGACCGTATGTTTGGAAGACCTGCCGAAAAGTGATGTAGCGAAAGAAGAGCTCATCAGAGTTAAGTTTTTCATTTATCTTGAGCTTTGACACAGTTTTCAATGGTGCCGGGAAAACGTTGTACCAATGTGCACTCTTTGCAATTACCACTATGTACGCTCGGAATACTTAAACGAGCTTTTGTTAGGCTAATGTTATCTCACCTGATGATGTTTGGATGATGGAGGCGCTCCATGCTGGCCACTTCTTCCGTCAGCATTTCACATTTCTTGTGGTCCAACTTTGCCCTATCAAGAACCTTGACTGCGACACGTTCTGCCAAAAACATTGATCAAAGGGTGTCCCACCTTGCGCAACACGCAACATTAGAAAGCATGCACCTGTCCGAACTGGTGTCCCTTTTCCAGCACCCAGCATCTGCTTCGGGCCCTCAAGACCTGTCCCTAACACCGCGTCCTTCCCTCCCCTGGCCCTGCCCGTGGTAAGTGCAGGACTCTGTCCTCGTCACTCCCAAGCCGTCCCCGTATCCCCAGGCCTGAATCAACCGCAGCTCAGACCCCAAGGGAGGTAAAGGAAGCGCAGACCATCGGCATCCAGCTCCCTCCTGGCTCCGTACTGCATAGCCGCCAGACCCACCCCTTGTCTAGCGGTGGATGGTTTCCTCCCTGTCCCTCTGGTCTGTCCCTTGCCTAGCCCTTTTTCCCTCGTAGTTGTCCCTCGTCCGTCATTCCTTGTCCCGTCTGCCCGTCATCCCCGTCTCTGTTACTGACCTTCGTCCGTGGTCCCTCACCCTTCGTCCTCGTCTTTGCCCCTTCTCCATGTTCTTCGTCGTCCGTCCCCGTCCCTGTCCCTTGTACCTCGCCCTTCGTCCCTCCGTCCCTCCGTTTCTCCGTTCCTCCGTCTCTCGTCCAAGTAAGTACTGAGCTCCCGTCCCTGTCATTCGACCCTGTCACTCATCCCCTGTCCCCTGTCACCGTCCCTGCCTTCGTCCCTCGCCCCTCGTCCCTCGTCTCTGCCCCCCTCCCCTTCCATCCCTCTCAGACCTGTGGTGAGCTGATGGACGGCCAGCCTCACAGTGGCGCTGTTGCCGGAGCCCAGTTCCCCATACAGACGGTACAGGCCGACCCTGATGCCCTCAGCTCGCTCCTGAACCAGCCGCTCGTCAGACGCCAGGAGCGACGTCAGGCGAGCGAACCGACCCACGTCACCTGATGGAGGGGTGGACTGGCGTCAACGGATGGGCGGTCACGATTCGTGGGGCAATGTCAATTAACATATTCATTGATCTTGTTTAATTAGTGAGCGGTCTGAATCGTTTCAGACCCTTCGAACTTTGATATTCATCGTAAAAGGTCCTCTGAACGGCATAAATTGATTATTGCGTTATGAGTCTCGCTCTCAAGACACTAAATGAGAGTTAACCCATAGTTTTTTCACCACCATATGTAAAAAGGCTGACACTAAGGCAGTGTCAAAACTCACTCGGCTAGGCTGACACACACCATAGCACGTGTGATTCCAAGAACCAATAACTATCTGCTGCGTATCAACACACACAGTTGACGCCACTTGGACGTCATAACGCACGTCGCCACCGCAAAGGGAACGCATTGTTTCGCTGCTGGTGTATGAAATTTGACTGCCAGATGCAGGTCTTTAGTACAGACACGTCTGCGGGGTCAATGGATACTTACGCTTTAGGCCGGGTGGAGTGGCGGCACGGGAGCCCTGGGCTGTGATAATGTGGGGCTTCACGAGAGGTTTTTCAGTGCCGCAGTCCGCGTCGCCTTCTGAGAAACAGTGGGTCACGTCAGCGATAGCCACCCACACCCATATTGAAATTGGAATGTTGTCTGTTTTACATAGTTATACATATGGTAATCAGGGCCTCGTCTAAGGAATTTTCACTGGGGGGGGGGGGGCAGAGACTGAAGGAGCCAAACCTAGGGTACCCCCAAATCCTGTTTTATCACCGGATTTAGACCACTTATTTTTCATCACAGCCCTGACACCATGAATATTTTTTGAAAACTAAAAAAAAAAAATAGTAGGCCATCCGACCCATGCTTGTATATTAGTTTATAGCCTCCTCACATTGCCTCATCAGACAATAATAATCACACTTCTCGTTGTTGAGCGTGTGTTTGAGTGGCAGTGCCGTTAGCCGTGTCTAAGGAATTTGCACGCCGAGCCTTATGTCGAGGGCCCATACGCATTTTTTTTAGAACCACATCGGTTTCTGATGGGTCCCTCTGAGCGCTCGATGCCGATCTCTGAGGGCTAATGTCAGCTTCTGGACCTACGTCGGCCTGTATGGTAGCCCACACTGGTTTTATATGATCCATACCAGGCTTTAAGGGTCAATCTGAGTGGAGACCGTATTTTCCCACTAGGGCCCCCTCAGACCAGTGTAATGCCTGTGTATCAACATGGAGACTGATGTCTTCTCAGGTGGATTCTCCGTAATCGCCGTGGATCTTCGACACAACCTTAAGGTCGTCACTCGTCAGAGGCTATAAACTAAACAAAAATGAAGATAGTAGTGCTTTGAGGCCAGTTGGGAGTTGGGACACGAAGTGGCTGGCATTTGCCCTCCAGGACTCCATGCCGACTTCTTAAGATAATCCAGCAGTCAGAGTACCCGTCCCCACAGACAGACCACCAATCTGGCATCTGCGCCTACGTTTGACCACTCAGAACGGGAGCCTGCTTCATTACGATTAGGAGCTACTCTAGCAGCACACCGGTGACCGTCCAGCCAGAAGTTGGACGCCGCTAGCGAGGACGACGATAGGCAAAAACAAGAGATTGACGCCCCGAGGGGCGAGGACAGAAACAACAGATTGATACCTAAAGGAGAAATTTTTGCCGGTAGAGCCTTGGACTCCGCGTGGTGAGGGCACGCGTCCCGGTTATAACAGTCCAGGTTCGAAGCGCGACATCGCACGATCTTTATGAGCCTCCTGGCGAGTATGGTTACGGTTGGTGGCAGGCCGTAGCCATTCGAAGTCAGTGAGGGGACCGGCCGTGCGCGGCTATGTGCATACGTTAAACTTTGGGCTCTAAATTCTGTCATAGATCACGAATTGCGCGATCGGAGGGTAGAGGGCAGGGTCAACGCAAAGCTCTGCTTGGCGGGGGCTCTGTACTTGTGAATCCTTCCATTCAAAAGGTTCGGACAAAATTAATGAAAAAGAATATCCGGGACACGGAGTTGGTCACCTGAAAAGACGAAATGTAACGTATTGCTGAGCGAAAAAAGGTTCAGGTAAACAAAATAAACACATAACAGCCCTAGGTAATGGGGTATTTCAATGTGGTCACATTGCATCGTTTCGTTTACGCATTTGTTTTTATGTGCACTGACGCCGCGAAATAAAAATTCGTTTGCCTTTTGACTATTGCCGGCCCCCCCCCCCCAGTAGGGACTTTTTGCCCTGACTGGGGGGGGGGGGCAGGTCGATGACTGCGGGGGTTTGGCCCCCCAGTTAACATGTTAGACAAGGCCTTGATGGTAATTGCGTGTTAATTCATGGCAAAACAAGGTAGCATTATATAACGAATGCTGTCATATCTACGCCCTAAGTCCGACGTTGTGAAACATTTCTTTTAAGAAGCTAAAATAAACACAAAAAGACGCAAACAACCGTAAACTGGAGAGTGCGTCTTCTTGGCAACAGCACAGCGTTTCAGGCAGACATGTGCATGGATCCGAGTGATGGATCTATGATCTCAGTGGATCTCGAAGCAAAGTACAGGTTTGGATTTATGATCCCACCGGATCTGGCGTGAAAAATACATCTTTGATCTATGATCTCATATGATCTTACGATAAATTAAGAACATGGATCTATGATCTGAGTGGATCCCACACTGAAAACAATTTAACCCAAGGCTGGCGAGTAAACCGGTGTTTTGCGGGTACCCCTATCCGCAACCATTTTTAACCACCCTCCCAGGAGTACAGTAAGGTCCCATTGCAGTGTAGTCGTCCCTGCTCTCAGCGGACTTGTTCGCTGACAGCGGTTATATCCGCTCAGAGCAAGTGCGACTACACCGCAATGGGACCTAGCACTACTCCTGAGAGGGTGGTTAAAAATGGTTGCGGATAGGGGTACCCGTAAAACACCGGTTTACTCGCCAGCCTTGGGTTAAATTGTTTTCAGTGCACCATGCACCACATTTGAAACCATGTTTTAAAGGGTTTCTATGCCAGTAAGTGACACAAAACTATGGATTACGACGTGCGATTACATAAAATCACTAAAACAGAACGTTTATGAGTTGAAACAAGTGCTTTTTTGGGATATATGTGTTGACAAAAAAATAAGTGAGGATCTATGATCTCACTGGATCTCAAGCAAAAAATGAGACTCGGATCTGTGATCCCTACGGATCTCTCGATAAATTACAGAGCTGGATCTATATGATCCCGTCGGATCCGAGATCAGGATACGTGGGATCAGATCCCAGATCCATTTTCCCGGATCCATGCACATGTCTGGTTTCAGGTAAAGCATTTACCTGGCCGCTGGCACCGCGTTCCCTGAAGATCGAACGTCGGCATTGTTCCGAATCCGAACTGACCGTGATATTGTAGAAACCGAGTTGAGAATTTGGAGTGGGACGCTAGTACAGATTCCGTGCACTTTTGGACTCTTTGGCAGCTACTATCTATCTATCTTTGGCAGCTACTACTATTCAGCAACAATCATCCAACAACAGCAAAAATGTTGTCCAACGCCATAGCCCACAACAAATGGCACAGGGGCTACAAACTCAGCCAAATTTCTCTTCACTTGGACGACGTGTACTTCAATGCAGCACGCTCTTCTGGTGCTCATCAACCAGCCTGAGCTTGGCGCAGTCGTCTTCCTGCTCACGACAATCTTCAGGGTGCAGCTTTTCCAAACTTGCGACTGACTGGAATACCAGACTTCTAATGTTTTTCGCCCTCCTCCTTGTCGACTCAGCTGAGCACTCACGGCTTTCCTCCAGCCAGTCGCGATCGTCCCGTCCCGTTGACCACTGACCACTGTCCACCACAGGTGCAGAACCACCTCTGAGCGGCTGGAGAGTGGGTCGAGAGCGGTCAGTTCCGCGTCAGTGGGCCGCTTCCGCCCCCGGATGGTCCCGGTCCTCCTGGGACCAAGGTCACCCACTGTGCGCCGTCTTATGTCGATATACCGCCGTTACGGAGACGGTGCGGCGGCCTCGATATGGGTCAGTTGACCGCTCCAAGGTCAGGCTCGGACAGGACTGGACAGCTGGCTGTCAGTGGTGGACGGAACTGAATAATGAATACATTCTGTACTTACCAGCGTAGGAGATGCGCATGTGACAGACGCGGTGACGCAGATAAAGGTCGGATCAGAGATGAGAAGGAAGTTTATCAGAGGATTAGGCAAGTGCGATGATTTCCGCATCACATGATGTTTTAGGTAGCATAAATGTCACCTTCATGTCATGTGTAAGTCAGTTACGAATAGTGCTGACGACCAGCTTGTCAGTTAGGTTAACCCTATTAGTGGCAGGCTCCTGGCTACCCCTATTAGTGGCAGGGGGGACTGGTTACGACCCCCCTGATATCTCGAGATCTAACGGGCCGATTTTCAAAATTCAAACGGCATTCGATTTCGCTCAACGTGATCTACATTTCTAAAAAATAAAAATTAAAAAATGTCAATAGGGGGGTAGAGGGGGTAAAAACGGGCAAATTGCAGATACATTTTAGACTGTTAATCACGGACAGGTTTCTGAATTCTGAACCAATCTTAACGCAACTTTTGCCGATCGATAGAGAATGAACCAGGAATTCACATGGATCCTAAAAATATGCATTTTCAAAAATCATAGGCGGATACAGATCATTGAGATTGGGTGTACACAAAAAGTATAGTAAATAAGGTTTTTGTTGGTACTGTTTCTAAAAAGGGTGGTAACGGTCTCGTTATGTTACAATTTTCTTATGAGAGAACGACTACAATTGTATTGGTCATGCATAGGCGGTGTCAGGGCACCTATGTTGGGAGGTAAAACATAACCCCCCTTTTTGGACGCCTGGATCCGCCTATTGTAGCAAAAACGTATCAAAAGAGGATGCACAATAACTTTGTATATATGTTATCACATGATACCTTTCATTCACTGTTCGTAAAACTGGTGCATACAGTTATAATACATCAGCATCGTGATCTTCGCCCAAATGACTCGCTTCACGAATAGGACCCCCCAATTCCCAGTGCTCTGGAGCCGTCCCTGGTAAAGTTATGAATTTGAAGTTTTCAGGGAATGTGCCCAATTTAGTTTTAGGAAAAGTCAGAAAATTTCAGCATCGTAGCTTCAGCGGTTTCGGAGATATTCCCGAAAAACCTGAGGGGTTGATGAAAACAACCCCCCTGTCACTAATACGGTTAAACCACAACTTTTGATTTTGCATTTTCGATTTGGTATGCACACATTTGATAATTCAGGTCAAAATTATTAAATATGTATTTATTTATTTGTTGTTAGGAACCCTAACTGAGACCTTTGATTTTCTGAAGTTGTCAAAACATTGATTTTAACCCTATACTCGCCAAGGTCATGCAGTTGTTGGTAAATCCAATGTTTTTGGCTGATATTTGCATTTGCTTCGATATTTATCTGAAAACAACAGCACTAATCTGCACTCCCACGAAACGTTAAACAAAACTATCAACCAGGCTCAAGGGCAAAGGGGAACTTACTGAATGTGACAACTTACGAAAAAAAAATCCATATGACGGACCTGTGTTGGATACCTCAAATACTCTGCGGCGCACTGTCGGTGGTCCGCACAGTCCAATGTCTAATTCTGCAGCCCGTCCCCATCTGATCATCCCATGGCTCTGTAATGCCCTTTTCAGGTCGAATTAGCTTGCTCCCACCAAAACAAGCAAACGATCAAGCAAGCAATATCTCCAATGAGCGATATTGTCGAGGTGGAGATAAGCACTGCACACTGCTCAGGTTGCTGTTTTCACTTATCGTGCTACAGTGTCGTCAATTCAATAATTCATTTTTTCTCTCCGCTTGAACAAAGCATACCTGCATCATTTAACTGATTTGCCTGTAATATATTCAACTGTAACTATATATCTAAAAATATTTTAACCCTCGCCGGACCTATTGGTTTTCTACATACGCGCCGCCCGAGGGGGGGGGGGGGTGGCGGTACGACCCCCTTCGCCGTTTCGCCCCTAATGGAGCCAGAGCGTCGCGGAAAAAACGAGAGTGTGCGTCGTTACGAGACGCAGCGATTGATACCCGATTTTAAGGTCTCAGGTCAACCGGTGACCTCTGTGGTCAGGTCAAGTGGCCCAAGGTACGGGTTCGGCTTTTGGCGAATAACTGCGCATGAAGAATGATCGCAGAGCCGCGATTTTGACAGCATCGTGTTTGCCTTGCTCAGACGCGTCGAATGGTATACTTTTTGTTTGGGTGAGATTAACTTTAGGTGTTGACCTCGGGTCACGGTCAGGTCAGAGCCCCCAGGTCACGAACGTGGTCGAAGGAGGTCATGTCGCATATCATTCGATTTGTCAGGCCTTCCCCAGTTCATTGGTGGCTTTTTCGACTCGCCAGCTTAATTTGATCAGGAGTTATTAACTGAAAACTCTTATGGCCCTAGTGGCTAGTAACGTCATAAATGACGTCACCCAAGGTCAACAATGCAAATGTGAAGCATCGACACTTGCAAGGATTGCATAAAATCACGATTCCGTGTAGTTGAGATGTCTTGAGATTGTTCCCGGCGCCAAAATAGCAGTTTTCATTTTTCCCCATTGACTTAGGTATAGGTAATGGTGAGGTGACGAAAATGACCTGATCTCATAAGTCATATGACCTTTAGGAAAAATCTGAGGTATACAAGTTATGAGTCTCCTAATGGATACTACTTAGGACCTGTAAGTTTCATCTCCCTGAAGCTCCTCTGGCAGTGAGGACGTTGCGAATTTGCGATATCTGAAGACCGTGCAGAGGTTCACTTATGACGTCATATGTCAGTGACCTGACCTGACCCGAAAATGCGGTTGGTGTCAAAAGATTCGGCGGCTTGAATCAAAGGTTAGGTGTGCCAAGCTTCAGCTCTCCATCGCCGGCGTGTTCGGAGCTATCGCGAAAAAAACCCTATGGGGGGCGGCACCCCTCCCTCCTCGGCCGGCGAGGGGATAACCTTTTTTAGCGTCTAACGTTTACACATAAGAGGGATCCGTAAGGCACTCTCCCAGCCGCTCGTTCACTGATCGGGATAGATATGCAGAGTTACGCATAATGCGAGCATTCTGCTCGTGATGAGAAGAAGCCGGTGATACCCAACAGCCGTTTTCACGACGGCCGTCTGGACACATTTAGTGCAGATTGGTTTCAGATTTGGTACAAATTTGGTCGAATTAGTTTCAGGGAGTTTCTTTAAAGTTGTCAGTTTGGCCTGCACAGATGCTTACATGCCTCATTTTCAAATATCAGAAATTATTTTATATTAAAACATTGAAATAAGTGGTCATGTCATTACGATGCGACGACGATTACATTGACTGTCAAATATTGAGAGTCAATGTAACTTCCTGGTACAATGTAGGCATAACTAGAAAAACACAGATAATTGAAGCCTACCTGTCTGAAATATCAGACGGCTACGGCTGGCCTCAGGTCCACGTCTGATACACGGGTTATAAGGAATTATCGACTCAACCCCGATCCAGGCCATCTCTGTCGACGAGCCGGGGTGCCTGGTTTGGCCGGCAGGGGGACACGACGCGCGGAGCTCCAGTGCCAGATGGCAGCACACAAGGGTTACGTGCTGGTGATGGGGTGCGGACGAATCTTCAATCACACAGATTCAGTGGCGGATCCAGGGGGGGGGGGGCAAAATGGGCGTTTGCCCCCCCCCAAACGGCATAATTTTAACATTACGCCTATGGACGATGCATGGAAAGAATCGATAAATTGTTATGGTTTGCCCCCCCCCCCCTCCCAAAACTCTGAGCTGGATCCGCCTCTGCACAGATTCGTGTCAAGTTAACGTCAGCAAATGTACCGTAGGACCTATCTTAAGTGGTCGTAGGGCATTACGTACAAAAAGACAAAACTTAAGGTCAGGTTTGATTATGATGGGCTGCCTATGATAGGTTGGTTTAGGTTATGCTGAATATGGTTGGGTTAGGTCAGGTTAGGTCAGGTCAGGTCAGGCTAGGTTGGTAAATTGTTTCTTTAGCGATGTGAAGTTTTTTTTTCCAATTACGTACTTTATCGCGTGCGTGCTAGGTCGTCAGGTCGACACATTGCCCTTAAGTCAGATTTTAAAGCTGACCTTTTAATGTTAACTTATATCATTCGAGGAACGTCGATTAGAGAAACACGATAGCGGTAAAAACAATTCATGTGAATTGTTAGGTCAAAAGGTATTGCAAAAAATCAATTTCCCCAAAAAGATGGCAGGTTTTACCCCCATGCAGGCTTAAGCGTTGATCTGAGGTCAAATATGAAACCATCAATCGGAAAGAGAGGTAAAAGAACTATTAAGTACCTACGCGCCCCTTATTAAGTACCTTCCCGCGGAACTTTATCTCTCTTCGTTCCCGAGTTATGCGCCGACTTGTCGAAAGTTGTCGAAATAGGGTAACTTTGCCCATTGATGATCAATAGCCGCGTTTACATAGGGCTAGTTGCCAGATAGTGGAATTCCGATACCAAGACATTTATTCCACTAACGAGACATTTCAGGCACATTCTGCTGGTTCTGACGACCTATACGGCCAGAAGGACCAAACCGATTGATATAAATAAATCCATCGTGGCGGATGAACACTATGAGGTAATTCAGGCCAATGGTGACCTTGACCATTGACCTCACCTAATAAATGACTGAAGTATTTTCCTCATTATCTTCTTACGTTCTTTGGAAACCCCCTGCCGCGTGTCGTTACGTGGTCCTGAAGCCCAATTGGAAGGAGTGGGTGTTACCGTTTACATAGGGCTAGTTGCCAGATAGTGGAATTCCGATACCGATACATTTATTCCACTAACGAGACATTTCAGGCACATTCCGTTAGTTCTGACGACCTAATAGGTCTCAGAACTAGCGGAATGTGCCTGAAATGTCTCGTTAGTGGAATAAATGTCCCGGTATCGGAATTAAACTATCTGGCAACGAGCCCTATGTAAACGGGGCCACTGTTAGCCCCCCCCCCCCCTAGCAGGACG